GGAGGCTCACGGAGGCTCACGGAGGCTCACGGAGACCTTCACCAATATCTACCAGTGCATCTCCTGCTCGCCTTCCGTGAGTTGCGCCTGATGCTGATGCTGGCGGAGGCCGCCCCGGACTGACGACGATGCTTGGCGTCCATGCAGCTGCCTGGGGCATCGATATCGCCACGTGATCGACCGAGACCCGAAACTTCAGCATCTCACTTGCACTTGCACTTGCACGTGCACAGCAACGCAACTTACACCACGTGCACCACCTGCACCACCTGCACCGCGCTCTCTCGGACAACGGAAGCGGCCCCCAGCATTAGCTTCAACGCCTGCTCTCGCCCACAGCGCCCCAACGTCCCCAGCGCAAACCCTCACCGCCCGCCCACCATGCCCTCCGACACCCTCCTCGAAGCCGCCTCCTCCAGCACAGACTACTACGCCCTCCTCTCCCTGACCCCCTCCGCCACACCCCCCGACATCCGGCGCGCCTACCGCAAAACCGCCCCGCGCTACCACCCGGACAAGAACCCCGACGACCCCTCCGCAGGCGAGAAATTCCACCAACTCACCATCGCCTACGAAGTCCTCTACGACCCCGAGACCAAGGCGCTGTATGACGCCAAGTATGCGGCGCGCGCACAGGCGGAGAGGAAGAGGGAGGAGTTGGGCGGGAAAAGAAAGAGGGATGTGGAGGAGTTGGAGAAGAGGGAGGGAGTGTTCAAGAGGAGGAGGCAGGGGGAGGTGCACGAGGAGGAGAGGAGGGAGAGGGAGTTTAGGCGGTTGGCGGAGGAGGGGATGAGGAGGAGGAAGGCGATGGAGGAGGAGAGGTGGAGAGTGGAGAGGGAGGGGGCGGAGAGTGCGGAGAAGACGGAGAATGGAGAAGCTGCTGGAGTGGCCGGTATCTTGCATGAACAGCCAGCGTCTGTTGGCGGAGAGAACGTCCCAGGCATCGACAGGACCATCAAGGTACGGTGGGCCAGGGAGGGCAGAGGGGAGGCCATGGACAAGACACGGCTTTCAGAGCTGTTCTCGAAGTTCGGCAAGATAGAACATGCGTTCCTGAAGAAAGACAGGAAGGAACGCATCGGGGAGCGGCAAAAGAAGAAGCTGGTTGCGACAGGTATTGTTGTCTACAGCTCCATCGTGGGCGCGCACGCCGCTGTGCTTGATGCGAAAAGCCAGCAGGGGCCAGATTGGGAGGCTCTGGAGTCAGTATCCTGGTTCGAGGGAAAGGATCCCGATTCTGGCCAACCTGGAACGTCACCATCTGCGAAGGAGCAGTCTGCACCGTCAACACCAGCATCCGCTGCGAAGTCAGATGGTCGGCGAGCTTTCCCGGGTCTAGACAGCGCACCAACGACTCCAGTATCGTCTTTCAAATCCCGGGAAGGAGGCCTGAAGCCGAAAGCATCGTTCGAATCTTTCAGATCCGCGAAAGCCAACACACCGCAAAGCTCGCCTTTCGGCAAGACAGCTGCGCAAAGCCCCAGCTTGGAGGAAAGCACCATGATGCGGCTGCTGAGTGCGCAAAGAAACGCTCAGAAGAAGCAAGCTGAGGAACAGATCCGGGAGGAAGAGGCTGCTGCGGAAGCGGCGGAAGCGCAGTCAGTGACTGTTCCTTGATCACGGGGAAGGGAGTCGGCATTGACAGAGGACTCTTAGAATTATCATGCTTGATTTAGCGTAGGCGCTGGTGGCTAGGGCAATGCATTAGGCAATGTTGGGAGATCTCGACGCATTCAGAGAGGTGCAAGCAGGAGTTACCCAACACTTGGCTGAAGTTGAGTAGCGTGGTGGGATTGATTCGATGCTGCATGAGAATAGCTTCAAGTGCTGTAAGCTATAGGTCCCATGGGAAGCTACAGCGGATAAATTCAAGCGCAGAAGCGAAAGATTACCACCAAACACTTAGAATATACGGTTGATCCAGACGGAGAGGAAACCCGTTGCAGGGGTGGCAGAAGATAAAGCGCGTTCGATGCCGTCTGTCCAGCGAGCCAATACGACCCTGAACGTAAACTTCCCAGTAACGCCTCCCTGATGCATGGTATATCTCTCACGGCAGCCAAATCAGTTTGGCACAAACCATCTCTACTCATACACCCCCCTTCCGCCACTTAAAACCCTCAATCCTATGTACTACCCCCAGTCAACCCCTTCCTCTCATTCCCCTCCGAACCCCGCGGCGAGTCCATATCATCTGACCACTTATCCTCATCGCCAACTGCAAAGATAGTATCGCCATCAAGCGATTCTCTTGGCGGATGAACCGGCTTCTGCGGTTTCGGCGCCGGCAGCGGCGACCTGTCGCGGTCAATGCGCGGCGCGGGATCATATGCTGGCGGGTTGATGGACGAGGGGCCACGGCCTTCTTCTTCGTCGAGGGAGTCGCGGATGGAGGCGATTTCGAAGCCTTCATCGTCTTGGTTGATCTGGAAGGGTGTTAGCGAGTGTGAATTGTGAATACGCAGGCGATGGAAGTATGGGAGCGTACCTCGTCGCTCATGGCGAATCGCCGGTTGTTCGCCGTCGGCCGCCAGAGATAGGCGATGAAACAGACGTCGGTGAGGTAGACAAGGTTGAGCCATCCGTCAAGGACGAACCAGCGGAACTGCCAGTGCGTGGGCGCAAAGTCTGCGTCGCCCACTCCGGCGAAGGTGAACGAGTTGAAGAAAAAGAAGCCGAAGATGACGATGATGCTGGTGAGGATGCACCACCACAACCTTCTGTACATCAAACCCTTGACGGTCTGTTTCCGGTCGATGAGGTCCTTGATAGTGAGGTTCAAGGAGTTGAGCGTCCAGATATAGAAAGCTGTCAGAGTGCCCGAGAGCGGTAGAATGACAAGCAAGACCAACGGGCCGGCATCATCCGGATGCACAGTCAAGCTAGCAATGGCGTAGATGACGCCGAAGACGAAGTGCGCAGCTGCCAGCCAGCGGACGACAACCATGGTTTTGCCGAGGGTGTGCTTGACGACACCGTAGCCCATACAGACAATGAGCAGTAGAAAGAAGGAGAAGGAGTTTCGCCCGGCATTGAGTATAGAGACGACGATCATCAGCGCCTTGCTGCCGATGTTGTTGCCATGTCTGTTCTGATAGTCGTAGAAACCCCACGTCATGAGCATCTCCACGACAAGGAACACGATGATTGCTGTGATGTAGTTCTGGACCGGGAGGATGTCTTGGCGGTTTTGGTAGTACAGAAAGCCCCAGAAGACGCCGACCACAGCGTAGACTATAGCCAGGGAGCCATAGAACGGTAGCTTGGCGATTTGCGCGGCTGGAAGCTCTCCGTACGCGTTGCGGAACTCGACGACGGCAGTGTATTCTTGACCCTGTTCGTACGAATAAGTGTAGACGCAGTAGTATCCCGTGCGCGAGACGGGGTAGTGGACGGCGCCGGGCGCTGTGAGGTGGATTGCTTTTGTCATGATGGGATTCTTGGAGGCTTCGTCGGCGTTGTCGGCTACGATCCATTCGCCCTTGTGGGTTTCGTTGCAAAGCTTTCCTTGTATTGTCTCTTCATTGCAGATCAATTGCCTCTGGGATGCTACATCAGCACTGTGTCCGTCGTAGGAGGTTGCTGGAAGCTCTTACGTTGTTCACTGGAACATCTGATGGCTTGCCGATGAACTTTGTATCGTCATACTCGTATACCAACAAGCTGACCGTCGGGTCTGCTCCCTCCTTTGCTTCGGCTTTGAGGAACTTGACGAGGATAAAAGGTTCGACGTTCCCTCCCCAGGACTTCTTGCTATACATGCCGGAGCATCGTTGCGTATCTTTCTGGTCCTGTGCACACAGCTTTAGTCTAAAGCTCTGACTTGGATGTTGGCAGCACACTTACAAGCTTGTACTCGGCCGCTCGAACCGTAATCGCTACTGAGAACAGGAGAAGGAGCACCTGTGTCCATCCCTTCATCATGCCTGCCTGGCGATGCCAGCGGTTGCGGTTCCGCGATCGACCCCTATTCAACAGGCCCACGAGTGGGCAAAGCTGATGATGAGCGCTGAAGAGCCGATTCTGCTTTTGGTTGCATGCGACAATGGTCCTGGTGTGAGTTGTTAAAAGGTTGAGCCGTTGCGCGTAGGAGAGCGCAGAGCCGCGTCGTCCTGCTTGCTGCGTCAACCGTCAACCGTCAACCTCCAAGGCTTGGCGGGCCGCAAGGCTGAAATGCGGGAGACTTCGTTTCGACCAGCCGCTGGTAAGATTGACCATTGAGCACTCTACACGAGAACAGCGCCCGCTGAAAATACTTCCAGAGCCAAAATGCCAGGAAAGCACATCGAAATGAACTCTCACGGATCCGGGGCGCCTTGCAGGCGGTGCCGAATTCAAGAGTCTTGCATTGTCGTCCGGATAGAACCACTATGCCGGTGAGAAATTTTACATTGATAGAAGAATCACGTCTCAGCTTCGGCGCTGACGCATTCGCAGGGACTGTTTCGTGAAGTATGTACACACAAAGGTCATCAAGCGCATGGAGTCATTCCGTGTCCGCCACTCGGCAGCAGGACAAGAGCGTAAAATGCTCTTGCCTATCTCTTTTGGTGTTTCATCAGTCACTTTGCTACATATCCTGGATGGGCATCTACGCCGACAGCAGGAGAACACAGGTCGCAAAGGCTTTGCTCTGTGCGTGCTGTATGTCCACACGTCCACCGTTGAGAAGGACCGCTCAGCTGTCGGCCAGCTAGAACAGCTCGAGGAGCGTTATCCTGGCCATGCTTACTCCTCTGCTCCGTTGGCGGACATTTTCACCGGAAAGGACGTTAAGGAAGCTCTTGAAGGACTTCCAGGTTCTGACACCAAGGAGGAAGCTGGGCCGCCTAGGTCGAATCAAAGCAGATTAGGCGAACTGATCGCATCCCTACCATCAGCCTCGTCTCGCGCGGACGTCATCTCGATCCTGCGTACCAAGCTGGTCATAAGGATGGCGCAGAAGTACGACTGCGAAGGTATTCTGTGGGGAGACAGCACCACGCGCCTGGCGGAGAAGACGCTGGCCGAAACCGCCAAAGGACGAGGCTTCTCGCTGCCCTGGCAGGTAGCAGACGGCCCGTCTCCTCACGGTATCACCTTCAACTATCCGCTCCGTGAGCTGCTGAGGAAGGAACTTCTAGCGCATGCCGATATGGTCTCTCCATCTCTCACCCCACTAACTTCGAACCAGTCTGCTACTGTGCAGGCACCAACGAGCAGCAAGAATACCACCATTGATGATCTCATGAAGCAGTATTTTGAGTCAGTAGAAGAGAACTACCCGAGTATAGTAGCGAACGTGGTTCGCACGTCGACTAAACTCGAAACTCCATCAGCGCAACCTGCTGACCAGCTCTGTCGACTGTGCAACCTGCCAGTGCCCGATGGATTGTTTGGCATTCATGGATGGGGCGGCGATCAGGAAGAGGCCGTGTCCGACTCGACTGACGAATCATCAACGGGTCTCTGCTACGGATGCACAAGGTCAATACCGCAGTCCGTTTCATCGCTACCTTGAGGTCGCATTTCGAATTTCATCAGGTTCTGCCTTGGATCATTTACCGGGTGTCCGAAGAGAATTTCAAACCAGTTAAAAGACATCACTCGCATATTTCAGAGGATCGTACTATCATAATTTTAACTCCAAATGCGAGGATACGTAAAGCTTAGGATTCTGGCTGGTGATGGGTGGGTTGCGTCGCTGTTGCCACAGCTTAAGCGCCGGTCGACTACGCCGCATAGCTGCAGGTACCGCAGCGCCAATGCGATCCCTGAAAATGTCGCAGCCTTCCAAGCATTTCAATCCTCCTGCACATTCGGCAGACTCAGCCGCGCCTTGCGCATCATTAGAAGTAACGGTCAAAATGTCTGATTTCGCTCGATCAACAACGTGGACCGCTTTACCCTCAGGCCAACGATGTTCTTTCCATTTTTCGTCTCTCTACTCTTGAGTGTCAAATGCGATGCTATTCCGCTGCTTGCCGCTCGAAAGCCCGATAATCTAACCGCCGAGGCCGATCCATCCTGGGTGTCGTCGCCCAACGTGCGAGGAACCTTCGACCTTCTACTTGCTTCTCTTACAACATTGTCGCTCTGCGCGTGGACAGCATATCATCCGAACGTCCAATCGACGAACTCGTTAGTCCGGAACTTCTTCCACCGGCTGTGGTGGATGCTGGTTGTCATATTCGCGCCTGAAGTTGTGTTGTTCAACGCATGGGAACAGTGGTGGACTGCTCGACGCTTGCAGCGCGAAGTCTGTCAACCAGACCAGCCGGCTTCGACGGACACGAACGTCGCCGCGGGCTCACAACACCCCGTTTCGGACACTCATACTCAGGATCAAGTGGAATGCTTTGTTTGCGCAGGCACCGATCCATCCCCTGAGGAAGACCCGGAGCATAATCGAACTTCCATCCAGCAGCCTGCAGAGGCGCCTTTTAGCCTTAATGACTCGGCTCGGAGAAGCACGAACTCATCTCCAAGGAGAGACTCGACACGTGCGAGCCTTGATAATGCCCTGGTGAACTCCACAGCATCAGGCAATGTTCCGCCTGTGCCTACTAAGAGCAACAGCTACAACAACCACAGCCCATGGACCATCGAGCAAGCATTCTTTGCGGTCAGCGGAGGCTTCGCTATCGACTCAAGCTCCTTCGGCACTCAACCCCAACTTACCTTTACGCCCCTCGGCATCACGACGCTCGCCAAACAAGGACTCTTGCCGAAGACCTCGGGCGCCATGGTTTCGGATAAAAGCAAGGCGGATGTCATCGCCAAAGTGCTTATATGTATCCAAGCCGGTTGGTTCCTTATCCAAAGCCTTGCTCGGGTAGCACGCAACCTACCGCTTACACTTCTTGAGCTGCATGTACTGACGCATGTCGCCTGCGCCTTCTGCATGTACCTGTTCTGGATCAACAAGCCGTACGATGTTGGTTGTCCCATAATCTGCGAGGACGACGCGGTAGTTGATATGGTCGCTCTGTTCGCGCTTCAGACTCGTGCGGTAAATGCCCCATACCTCTCTTAACATAGCAAGAAGTTCTAACTCAACCCTTGTAGGCCGAGAGCAAAGGCGAGTGGAAGTGTGCCCAACGTCACTCATTCGAGCTTTCCGAGATCGAAGGAGCTCACATACATACGGAACGGCCACCAAGGAATACGCGGTATGCACGGAAGGCGGCTAAATTTATCATTGATCCGATGGACAGGCCGAATATCAAAATCTCCTGGATCGTCAATCTGCTTGAAATGCCGGAAATCCCAACACATCTGTCAATCCTCCCGGATAGGAACAACGAGGATACATGTACACCTGCTGTGCGCGAGCAATGGCTCCGGGCCAACCGTGCTCTTGAAAGTATAAGAAGCACTGGCGGGCATTTCCGTTGGTACAGTGTAAAAAAGCCTTACTACGTCGGAAATTCCGAGGAGAAACATTACCAAAGGGCAGTAGGTGTTAAGTTCGAGGACGGGAAGACGTTCGTGGTACCCTCACGAAGCAATCTCCGTATCGAAGGCGCGAAGTACGCGTTTGGCCCAAAAGACGTGAGGGACAGACTGTACAGCCTTCAGACGAAGACCTTCACAGTCCTCACCGCCCTCTATGGTGGCGCTCATCTGTTCGCCTGGCGTGCGCACTTTCCCAGCACTGCAGAGATGTGGATGTGGCGAAGTTCCGGCATCGTCATGGCTGGGGCACCACTTACATGGGCTCTCTTCATCATATTGGGTGACGTGAGCAACTGGATGGATCCTCCAGGTCTTTACACGCGGAAACTAACGAGCTTTGAGCTTTGTCGATACGCGGTTTCGCTTGTCGTGGGTTTTGTCGCGGCACTATGGGGCGTTCTTGGTTGCTGCCTTATGGGGCTTTACCCCGTAGCGCGTGTCTACGTCCTCGTTGAGGCTTTTGTTAGCCTGAGAAGCCCGCCTCTCGGTACTTACACCACCGTACAGTGGACTGACTTCATCCCGCATGTTGGCTAGAGCCGGAGAACATATTACTCACTTCTTTCGGACATCACGTTGCTTGATGTGGACCTATCCAGCCCGGAGCGGATGAGGGCACGGACAACTTGCATGGACCCGAATTCGTCACGATAGGACTCAATGACACGATTGCTGAGGCAGGAAATATGTATTGTCAGATTTGAACGACTACAACGCGCGAGTCTTGACAATCGGTAGAGACTTCGTCAAAGAAGCACATTCCTAGCTTGGATGCAGTGATGGAAAGCATAGACAAACAGAATGGTATCGCAAGGCAAAGATAGCCCCGAGAAACATATTGAAGGGTTACCAGACACCAAACACCAAACACCAATCGCTATGCTGTTCGTCTAACGCCTGCCACTCCTTCCAGTACCACCGCGACCAGCTTCTAGATCGGCTTGGTATCTACCCGCAGAAGCGGCGCCTCCTTTCGTACCAACCGGTTGCCTAGCCGGCTCAGGTCTCCGTGGCTCAGAAGACCCATCGTTTCTGTACTGCGGCAGCCGTTCGTCTTCATCGTCGCTGAATGACTCTAGCACGGTGGCCGGCAGTGGTTTATCTTTCTTGTCCGCGTCCTTGTTCCTCTTGTGGTGGGGGTTGTATGCCTCGTCCAGCCTCTTCTCAAGCAGCAGAACGTTCCTGGTATTGGCCTTGAACGCTGCATCCACCAGATCACCGACGAACGGGATGAGGCCGACAAGGAAATCGGCGACGACGTTCAGTATCATCATGGTGATGGTCCATCCTCCCAGCCCGCACTCGACTCTGCTGCAGCGGTATACCAGGGCGACCGCTAGAGCGAAGTCGATGGCATCGCCGGCGGCGGGTACAAGCCCGATGACGCTAGACCAGCCGAAGCGTGTGCCGAATAAACTGAAGAGACAGCAGTCGAGGGCGTAGGACCGTTGGCGCATCTTCGCGAGGATCACGGCGTCGTGCTCGGGTATGTAGTCCGGGACTTGCTTCTTCATCTTCTTCATCTTGCCCTTCCGCTTGGGGTCTTCGACGTAGACGAAGTAGGGATCCTGTCATGAGGTCTGTTGGTAAGAGTTGCACAGCGGGAGGATGGAGCGGCTTCGTACGGTTCTGCCCACAGGCTCTTTGCTCTTGTACTTCTCCATCTGCTTGCCCAGCAGCTTCTTCGCAGCGTATTTTCCCAAGACTGCTGCCATGGTGGGTGGTCGGAGGTGTGGTTGTGTGGTTTATATGAAGTGAGAGGTTCAGGCTTCTGGATATGGGTTTGAGGTCTTGAGCGAACCCAACGTCTGCTCTGTTATGTACTCAGACAACACCAGCGCAATCAGACTGTACACTATCTTGCAGTGGGCCCAGGGTCGCAGGCCTCAAAAGACGCCGCAGATGGTTGGCGATTGATGCTCGCTTCCCGAAAGTCTGAAACGGGCGCCGCAACGAAGCGCCGCTATGAATAGCTGGCGACTAGGGAAATTCGAAACAGAAAGCAAAGAAGAGGGCGGAGAGAATAACAGGCGGGAATGGAAACTGCAATGTACGATTATAATACAGAGGTGCTGGTGGCTCTAATAGCAAGCAGCAGGTGCTGGCCCGCCCAAAAAACCGGCCATGGACACTGAACACCAACACGTCAGTCGCCAGTCGCCAGTTCGCGCTCGTGGCAAAATGTGGCGCAGAAATTGCACCGCCACAATGTCGGTCCTTCCGCGCAGGGAACGACGGGAACGACGACCACCCAAGGGACTCATTGTTGACGGTGGATGCGACCGCGACCGCCAGCGACTCATTGTCTTGCTTTCTACCAATTCGACAAACGCCATCACCGTTGCTGTCCGCTGCTCTCGAGCTGCCCCTGAGGCTGTGCTGCTCCCCGACCCACGTCTGCTTGCAATTCGAGGCCGGCCTTGTCATTCAGCTCGTCCATCTGCCCTGCGCCTACGCGGATATGCTGAAGGATATTCGTCGATATGGCAGAGACAAGGATGCAGCTAGTTGATTGTAAGTTTCCGCGTCGACGCCCGGCCCACTCTCTCAGATCTGTGTACACTGCACCTCGAGCCCTCCGTCTATCGAATCGTCAGATACCATCTGGGACGATACTGTCCGCTCCTACTAGAGCTGCTTGTGCGTTGGCACATTGCGGGAACGACTACGGTGGCTGAACGCGCTTGTTAGGGCTGGACGACCTCTGCGTACGCTTCATCATCAACCTACCTCACGAAGAACTCGAGTCAGTAGAGCGGATATGTTTCCAAGTCGAAGAAGCACAATGGTTCTACGAAGACTTCATCCGCCCCCTCGACCCCTCCCTGCCATCACTGAACCTCAAGAAGTTCTGCCTTTTGATCTTCCAGCATTGTCCTCTCCTGTCGGCGTTTTCAGAAGATCACCATACGGCCGCGTATTCGGAGTTTCTGGCGTACAAAACACGCGTTCCAGTACGGGGCGCCATAATGTTGAACGAGGCTATGGACCAAGTGGTTTTGGTCAAGGGCTGGAAGAAGGGCGCGCGATGGAGCTTTCCTAGGGGCAAGATCAATAAAGGTGAAGACGACCTAGATTGCGCGGTCCGTGAGGTATACGAGGAGACTGGCCTCGAGTTAAAGGAAGCGGGACTCGTCAAGGATGAGTCGGAGATGAAGTACATTGAGGTATCGATGAGGGAACAGCACATGCGCTTGTACGTGTTCCGGGGAGTACCACTAGATGCTCACTTCGAGCCGCGGACGAGGAAGGAGATCAGTGCGATCAAGTGGTACAAGCTCTCTGAGCTGCCGACACTAAAGAAGCAAAAGCATACTCAGCACCAGGATGGCACCGGCGAGGATGCGTTGAAGGACAACATGTTCTACATGGTCGCTCCGTTCTTGGGCCCCTTGAAAAATTGGATCAAGCAGCAGATCAAGCTTGACAGGGCAACGGCACGACAGGTACCCCGACCGGTGCCCAAAGTGCATACGGATATCGATGAAGTAGCCGCAGATGAACAGACCCTTCAACCCGATGAAGCAGAAGAGACAATGGTAGATGAAGACATCGAGGAGCAGCATTTTGAACAGCTACTGGCCAATCTGCGCGGACCCCGGGCGGTTTCAGAGGCAACAGACTTCCCCGAAGTTGCGATGTCACCACAGGGGACTCATGACCCGGCTGTAGAACTAAAACGCCTGCTCAGCGTCGGAGGTTCTTCGCTTTCTCCCCCGGCCTCTGCGACTATACACCAGCCACAAGCAGATTCCAACTCGTTACTCTCAATGCTTCAGGCTAGATCGGCGCCTGGTGTAGGCACACGATTCCCTCTAGAAAATTCCGTCCCACCTAGGACGCCGCTCGACCAGATGAGCGCCACGCCAACTGAACCGCGAAGCCCAACGCATCATCATCAGCCTCATCCGCCGGTGATCTCCCATTTTGCGCCCCCTCCTGCTTTCCCAATACCCAGTACCGGTGATTTTCATGGTCAGCTACCAAATCTGTTAGCACGCCCCCTGCCACCGGACGCATATGGCAACGGTCCAAATGGTTACTATGGCCCTTTTGCCCCAGGTTTTGGGCCAAGGTTTCCTCATCCGCAGCGCATGGCTAGGACAATACCTCCAGTGCATGGCCCAGGGATTCCTTCTAGTATTCCACAAGCGCCGCGACCATACCACAGGACTGGCGACCCAGAGTTCGCTCAAGCTCCTACATTCCCCGACACTCGTGGGCCGATTATACCTCCTGCATCGCAACTGCCGCCACCCAAGCTCAACCCGCACACGATGAGCCTGCTCAATGCGTTCAAGAGTAACAACAAACCGCCAGCTACGAGTACAGTTAGCAAATCGCCACCAAAGCCGTCTGCTGAGATGTTGAACACGATGCGTGTCAGACAGCAGGTGTACGCAAGGAGTCCACCGCCTATGCAGCATATGACTGGAGCAACTTCTATGTCTGCTCAAGGTTCACAAACTCTAGGACGCCTCTTGGAGAAGCAGGTCTCACCACCGGCGGCGCAGTCAAGTAGTGCGCACCAAAGCGCACTGCTTGATCTATTCCGCTCACCTCCCACCCCGACCGCGAAGCCCGTCCTGCAAGAGAAGACGGCTCCAAGCATGCTCGGCTCCGAACCAGCCGAGCTCTCCGCTCTGCCGAGTCCTAATGCTACCGTGCGTGGACGGAGGACGGGATATCCTGGATTGTTTGCCGAAGCCGATGAGGAGATTCAACCACCGATAATTGCGTACCTCGATGCTCAAAAGCCTAGAACTCCCTTACCAACGAAGACTTCCAAACTCACTTCCGCCACCGTGTCCGGTCCGCTTAACAATCCGGATTTTAATACCGTCCGCGGACCGCCCAAAACCACCGGATTGCGGAACGGCAACGCCACCGCAGTGTCGGATGTGCGGCAAACTCAGTCGTCACCCACAGCCAGCCTGCCGCAGGTCTCCATCCTGGCACGTCCAGGCGACGCGCCGAGACCCAGTTCAACTCGGAATAACCCGCCGATCCCGGCTGGGCGGGCAGATTCGAAGGTTGTTGGGAGCCTATCGAAGCCATTCCAGCCTCAAATATTGCGCCGACCGGATGTGCACAGCGGAAGAGCTCCGCTGAGCGGCAAAACTATGGAGCAGCAGCAACAGTCCCCTGGCCCTGTTGACAAACACCTAGCTACTGCCTCGGGTGCGGATACACTTCTGTCCCTCCTTACGACAACCCAACCTAAGCCCCCTAAAGATCTACCGCCGCCACCCCTACCCCAGCTCCCTCCATCATTGGACCAATCCTGGATAGACAAAGAGCCCCGCCTCCCTCTCATGCCCTCGCGCCGCGGCGTGACCATCGAGCGCGAAGACTTAGCAGAAGCAATGCAAGAGCGCTACGAACATGATCGTAAGATGGATGCCCATCTCGCATCGACTAGACAACAGAAGAACGCCCTCCTGTCCCTGTTTGCCGCTCCCAAGCCCGGAAATGAAACGCCGCCACGCCAACAGCATCCGCCGTCGCAGGTCGTGAGTCCCGTCAGCCCGCTGCCGGAAAACAAGGCTTCTGTGGAGATGGGACGCAGCCGTATTAGCAGCATTGCGTCGTTGGGTGGCGAGAGTTCTGGGGCGCCTAAGGGTGTGAAGCGGGATCTTGCGGCTGTTGAACCGAGTCTACGGACTAAGAGCCCTATGATGGAAGCTACGGCTCAGCCTACGATTAGTGGAAGTAGGCGAGGCAGCGCTGCCCCAACGCCGGTTTCGCATGCGGATCGGAACTTCTTGCTTGGGTATTTGGAGGGCGTTGCTAGGGGCGCTGGTGCGGGCGCTGGTGCGGGCGCGAAAAAGTAGGCTGCTTCATGTCTGCGGCGGGACCGAACTTGTGGGCAGGAAGGGACGGCAGGAAGGAATGTGGATACTTGCGGATGGGGTTTTCATGAGATATTGATACCACTGAATAGTTCTATAGTTATCTTATCGATGCCATTCATACCCCGTTGCTATGCGTCCTTTAGTCGTGCTAGAGGCAGCCCAGCCGAACCGTAGACGCCGTGTAACTGCGCAAAAGATATCCGCACGGAGGCACGGATAAGTTTGGTTTATTTTGCAACATCCTGACGCGTCCACTGATGGGTTTTACAGGGGTTTCATGCTGCTGGATACGGTTCTATGTAATTACTAGAGACCTTGTCGCTTTCGTATTTATGAATAATAAGATCCTTCAGAGCAGTGCTCAGAGCCATGGAAGTGCTGCCCGTAGACTAATGCAGACTACCCATCGGACGTGTTAAGGTGCTGTAGAAGCTATCATGTGGTATTCCTTCAATCGTGACGGTTTGAAGATCGCGATCTTAGGGTCCAAGACATTAGTACTCCTTATAACCATAGCGGTGCAATACCGACAACAGGTTTGGAGCCTTGTTCCATCTAGACTAAAGCGGTCAGCGTTGTTCATATACCAAGGTCTTAGGTTTTGCGCTTGTGAGCAGTGAATGCGAGCGCAGGCTGAACCGTAAATACCTGTACGGAGTGCAACGAGTAGTCGCTGCAGCCTCGCCATTAACGTTCCCAAGAAGCGACTGTGCCACCGTCAGAGCCGTCTCGACGTATCCCACCCTTGCACAGATGTAAGCCTCCAGTCATCCCTCCACATCTGCTTATAAGTCCCTACGACCCGTTTGCTCCATTCCGTCTGTGCACACATCCTTAGCTGTTCCCTGTCAAAGTCCTCGGTGCTGAATTCATGCAGCGCAAGATACCGCGGTACCTCTTCCACTCCTGGCTTTGCTGACTCGTTCAGGGGAGGCAAGAGTTTGTACCGCGTTGAGCGACAATACCCGCGCATCATGGAGAGCATGTCGAGGTGCTGCTTGCGGTACCATTCGTCGAACTCAGCATCTGATACACCGGGCGTGTTGGCTGCCGCTACTATAAATTTGCCGCCGCCTGTTCATGCCGGGCGTAGTACCGTCGTCAGCCTGGGTCGTCCTGTTATGCCACGAGCATCTGGGATCCGCGATGACATCTCATCGGCCCTATAGAGGAGATGGAAGCGTACCGCGGTCGACTTGGCCCTCAAATCGCTGGATAAGCTCATACCACCTGAGATCAAACTCGCCAAATTCGCCCGTCCCTCCGCTGCCCGGCTGCTTGCTGCTAGTGCACAGCGGCAGCCTCTTCCACACGTCGCTGTTTAGCCCGTCCAGATCGTCCAGTGGGAGGAGCGCGAGATCTTGGAATTTATCGGGCGAGTCACAATCGTTGTTTATGAGGCGGAAAACCAGCGAGCCACCGCCGCTATTCTTGCCTGCATCGACAAGGGAAGGTATTAGGGTCTCCTTGTACCAGTGATAGTAAGTACCATCGGTATCTAGGCGCTTAACTCTCGAAGCCAGGTATAGTAGCCCTTCTGTAGGCATCTTAGAAAAGTAGCAACTAAACGGGCAGTCCGAACGGATGAGTAGGTACATTAATTGCTAGTAGAGGGTTCGTAGCTACTTACTAAGCGAGCCCGCCGCTACGTATCTGCAGCGTGCTCTTCCACTTAGCTACCTCTCGCTACTCTCGAAGAACGCTAGGTTTATACTTTAAAATAAGAATCTAAGGGCAAGAGTTTGAAATATAAAGCCTAGTAGATAGTAAAAGAATATAATTAAATCTTAGATATTAACTATTATAATTATCTTACTCTAGTAATAAAACTAATAGGTTATAAGCTACTCTTTAGCTTAGTAGCTATTCTTAATTAGAAAACTAACTAAATAGATATTAAAGCTATATTTTTAGATAGCTAACTTAATAAAATAAGTTATATTAAGCAGCTAACTAGATTTAATAGACTCAAATAGCTAAATTGTATATAAGCTAGCCTATTATATTCTTTACAGCTTAAAACAAGCTATGTATATCTAGAATAGAATTCCAGAAGCTTATTTAAGTAAGATTAGCTTTTAATAGCTAGAGCTAGATAATAAAGTTTTCATTTATATAGAAACTACTATAATAATAGCTATCTAAATAGCCGATCTACTTCTATTTAGACTAAAGAAAACTATAGTTAACTCGGCTAAAATATAGCTAAATACTTATTTTAGAATAAGTAATTTAGAGCTATATTGTTTTTATCCTAGTATCGAAATAATATAAGATAGAGCTAAATATATTATTTATCTCTTTTAAAAGACTTTTGTAGATATAACATTAGAGGAATATAACTACTAAAATATTAATCTAGTTGCTATACCAAAAGAGCTAAGTAAGAAACTAGTAAAGTTTAATAAAGACTAAGACTTAGTATTAATCGAAAAAAGCTAATTATAGGTTAATAGCCTTTTATACTTTATATAAGGTACTCGGCTTAATCTAGTATTTTCTTTTTATAAGTTAGTAAAATTTACAAGTAACCCTAGATTTAACTATATTTCAACTATTAAATAAGTATTTGAATACTCTAAAGAGTCTAGAATCTAGTATTAAAATACTATTACAACTATCTAGAAAATTAAGCTTAGTAGAGAGCAACTTACTATTATAGATTAGTAAAATTAACTAAGTTAATAGGTTTAATAAATTACTATTATATAATAGTAAGAATCGAGTCTCTAAAAACTTAGCTAATCTCTTATTTTATAATAAGAATAAGAGTAAGCTATTAGAGGTTAATCTCTAAAACACTAAGTTTATAGCTATAAGACTATAAGGCTATAAGACTATAAGACTATAAGTCTATAAGATATTTATTCTTAGCCTTAAATACTAAGTAGTAAATCTAGTTAGTTAATATTTAAGTTTACTACTAGAGATTCAACTAGGTTTTAGAAGATTCTATAAGATTCTATAAGATTCTAGATTTTATGGATTAGTAGAATAGAATCTACTAGAGAGTAATAAGATCTAGAGATTTTAAATATATAGATAGTAGTTTTCTATTTTATATAGTAATAAAGCTCTTTAGTTGGTATAATTCTAATATTAGCGTATTATATTCACTTTTATATAACTAGTTCTAACTAGATTTACTAATTTTAATTAGGAAAATATTATTAGAATTATTATTTCTAATAATCTTAGCTTACTATTATCTTAGTATTTTCTTAGTAAGAATTTTACTACTAGTTAAATATAGAGTTTTATGTATTCTATCTATAAATAGAGCTTCTATTTCTAAATAGAGTTTTTTTTAATAGAGCTTCTCTCTCTAAAGCTTCTATTCTATAAATAGAACTTAAGATTCTATTTCTATATTTAGATAGAGCTCTAAATTCTATCTATCTCTAATAAAGCTTTTAACTTCTATATTATAACCCTTAGTAGTTCCTAGAAAGTCTTTTCTAGAAAAGGCGCGGTTTCTAGAAAATGATATTTCCTAGGAAAGCACGTGACGCGATATAGACGATTCTACTAAAAAAGGTTATATTAAAAGAATTAGCTATAGGATATAGATAATTCCGCTAAGAGGGCCTATATTATAGGAATTATAGTATAAGAGTACGAGCTATAGGCTTAAGTATATAGGCAACACTATTCTAGTTATTAGAATAGTGTGCTTAACTTAAATAAGAATCTAGTATTCTTTATAACTTAATCTAATCTTACTA